TGCAACAACTCCAATTACAAGAACGTAACTATATAGAGGTTCTCAATACCTCTTTACTTTTAACCTCTTCTGAACAATGGTAGGTATAGTTAACAGCCTCTGCTGAGACTTTAAGCACACAATGTCAAATCCTTGCCTTTGGGGATTAGCTCCATACTTAATGGTTCATGTATAAAATGTTTTAAGTTTCCTCACCTAAACCTGCATCTGCAAGATGCATAGTGAATCTCCTTTAAAAGACCATTTTCTCATGAAATTTATCATCTTTTTTATCAATATATTGATACTAGTGCAAAATTTTTAAAAACCTACAATGTAAAGGAGCTATGGTGGCATAGTGCCTAAGGCACTTGACTGTTAACCGGCAACTCCTCGGAAGGAAGGTTGGGCAATCTACTTCCATAGTGATACTGCCTCAGAAACTCAAGAAGGGGTCGTCGCTATGAGTCAGGTCCGACTTGACAGCACATAACAACACCACCACCACAATGTAGTAAGGAATAACCCTCCCCTCCCCCAACAAAAAGGATAGATTAAAGCTTCAGGAAACTGTATGCTAGTTAATTTTTATCTATCGTAATTTTCAATAAACAGGCGTGCTGAACAGACTTTCAACGATAAAAAACTTAGTAAAATATTAAGTCACTGTCTTAGTAAGCAGGGCATAGATTCAATAGTATCTTTTTGACTTGTACAATCACTTCTCATCACATTAAATACCCCCTTGAAACAGCTAATTGGGTTTCAAAAGCACAAACCTATCATTTATTTTATCCAATGATCTAAGTCATTTCAACATCTACCATCCTTAAATGAATCCCAAAGCAGTCGTTATTTTAAAGTTTTCAATACTTGGTTAAGGTTCATGAAGATGGCCTTTACCACCTCCATTATACATGAAATTGTAATTAAAATTATATTCCCTTTCTCATGTACAAGTCAATTTTCATATTGAAAAGCAGAAATCAGTAAAAATTTGTTAGGAAAAAAAAATATTGAGCAGGAAGCTGGAAACAAAAGAAATCTCCTGTTTTAACTACGGAAAAGCTCTGATTGAGAATTACAAATCACTTATCCTTATGAAAACAGAAAATTATTAGTAACTCAATTGTCAAAAAAATCTTACCCAGATATGCATTGTGTCTTTCTCCATTTTTGGCATTAAGGGTTCATATAAAAGACTTCTGATTAAGGGTTCATATAAAAGACTTCTGTCCTTTGTAAGTACCATGCTATAAATATGAATATATTAACATAAAAGAAAATATTTTGTCTGCTTAAAAGAGAAAATTTCGCCTTTGAAGGTTGGCATTACTGTTAGTATTCACAGCTGTTGGTATGATTGGCTCTTTTTATGCAGACTCAAAAAACCAAACTTACTGCCATCGAGTCAGATCCGACTCATAGTGACCCCTCTTTGAGCCTTCTGATTAGCAGTCAAATGCCTTAGGCAGTACGCCACCTCAGCTCCCTTTTACTCAGAAGTACCACACAAATGAGTTACCAAATTGCAGAATCTAGAATTTGTAAGGTAGGCAATACTGCAAATATAGATATATTGATTAATTAGATGGAGAAAGGTGTTATTCTCTGTTGTATGATACCTTTTGCAAATATTTTAAAGTTAATGTAGCCAAAAACATAAAGGTTGGACATACCAATTCTTGTTAATGAGGGTAACATAAAATCTGCCCACTTTTTAATAAGTATCACCCAATATCTAATAAATAAAACTTTGGTAAGTACGGTATATAAAATGAGGAACAAAACATACACCAATGTCTTTGACATCCCGCAACAGGAAACATATAATGCAAGAAGATAATTTCAATAGTACTCACTGGTAATAAACTTCTTAGGATTATTTTCTGGTTAACTAATTCTAATCCAAGAGCAGTAATTAGAGAAAAATGTACAATGACCAGTGTTCTCTATTAATACCACTATACATAAAGATGATCAGAACTTCTTTCTTTATTGTAAATGAGGAATAATAATAACCTGAGCCAAAGTTTCTGACGATCAAGGTATTTAAAATAGGCTTTAAAAATTGATGTAGTATACTCAATTACTGGGGTCTTAAAAGCTTGTGAACAGCTATCTAAAATGCAACTATTGTTTTTTCCTTGTCTGGAGCAAAGACGAATGAAGAAAATCAAAGACACATGGAAACAATCAGTCCAAGGGAAGAAATCCTAAGAACCCCAGCCTACATGACCCTGACACCAGAACTAAATGGTGTCCATGAAATAGGAGATCCTGGATAGAACGGGAGAAAATGTGGAACAAAACTCAAAATTGTCGGGAAAAAAAAAAGACCATGCTTATTGGTCAGATAGAGACTAGTGAAACCCAAGCCTATGGACTGTAGTTATGTGTTGTTTTTTGCTGAAAACTCTTTGGGCCTGGAACTGAAGTCACTCCTGTGGCTTAACTTTCAGTCAAACTTGATAACCTATGAGGTGAACAATTACACCAGGGAAGTATACTTCTTAGGACAATCAACCAAGGGCGATCAGAAGGGCAGTACTTGTACAGGGATAAAGCTCAAAAAGCAGGAAAGAGCACAGGGAAAAGGTAAGCACAAGGAAGAAGTGGGAAGAGAGCTGTTACATAATGAGGATTGCAATGAATGTCAAGAAACACAATGTATATGAAATGTTCAATGGAAAATGAATTTGCTCAGTAAACTTTCACACAAATCACAATAAAAGTTAAAAAAAATGTTTATGTACTATGATTTCTGACCAAGAAATGCACTCAGTTAAAATAAGGGAGGAAAAAAAAAAGGTGGTGGCAATATGTGTAAATTATTCAGTTAATCACAGTACTTTTGTATTTTCAATAAAAGTAATTATGTAAAATAGACACCTTCATGGAAGTACGATGTTTAATGAAAGATCAACTAATTTGTTTTAAAGAAAAAAGTAGTCATTAAAATTATGGAACAGATTAAAGTAATGAAATTTCTGAAGTTTTTATTGATCTTAAATTTGTAACAATCTCGTTTGAACCACAAGCATGAATACATTATCTTTAATATATTTTTCTAAAACTATTATTCTACTCAATAATGAAACAGAATTAACAGCATAGCCTAATGTGAAGTTTCATTCCAGTAGTTTATATATGTTCTAAGGACAAACTGAAAAAAAAAAATTTAACATCTTTTAACAGAACTGTACACAAACAGAAAGCCATTTTTTAAATGACTTGTCAACTTATCATTATGTATGTGTTTAAAAACACAACTCTGCAAACATTTGGGACTAGAAGCAAGTAAAAAATTTATCTTTACATTGAGTTTTTGAGGCTTTGCCATTCTGAATAAGAAGTAGATTATGTTGTTTTTTGCTGAAAACTCTTTTTATACTTAGTCCCACTGGATCACTGACATACAGAAATTTCACATTTACCACATTTTGTCAGATCCAGATCAACCCGACTTTTTTCGCAGGTTGAGACCTATGTTCAATGTATAAACTGACTAGTTCCAGAAGGTAAAGAACATCCCTACTGCTCCTAATGCTAGTGACCAACCCCAAGTTATTATTCCACTGTTATCCCTGCAGAGAAGTCTCTTGATCCTTTTTCATCAGCATCTCCTTAAGATGTTGCCACTGAGGAAAGGCATCAGCTAACCCACTATTCCCCTGGTACAAGAGACAGGGCACAGGGAGAGGAGGACTTAGCTCGCAACAGATCTACATATACCTTAGATGTGTGCCCTATAGCACAATACTGCCTCAAATCCCCTCTTGTTTCCAGTCAGGTCCCTTCTAAAGTGTAAGTAAAATCTAAAGTGTTTTTAAGTCTGTATTTTCAAACATGAAGCTTCTCTTATCACAGGAAATAATCTTTCTTTGGATTAAAAAAAAAAAAAAAAAAGTTTCCCTTCAAGGAAATAACACTACTGACTACCTAACCTGATCATGAAATTTATTAGCTTGTTTTAAATGTGAGTCAGAGAGTCATCTAGAATTAGGTGACTACTATTGTGAATTTGCTTATTAACAAAAAGTAAGAAAAAGATGACTAATTCTGTAGGTAGATGTAAGGATAAATTACTTAAGTTCCAAACCAAATTTTCATTCTGAACACACACAAAGAATTTTTACATTCAAGATTATTTTTAAGGGCTGAAATGACCTTGTAGGTCATCCAGCCCAACTTCCATCCAGATATCATACCTCCCACACACAGTAGTCTCTTCTGAATTATAAAAGTTTATAAAGTTATTTCCCAAAAACCTACATAAATAAAAATTATCTATATATAGAAATATCTATTTAGCAATGCTATAATTTAAATATTCCAATCAAATTGGGTAGAACTGGTTTTCTCCCACATCCACAGACTATATTTACACCCTAAACAACAAGTTTAAGGAATGACTATAGTAACACCTGACTGAAAAAGAGAAAAGAGTGCTATTAATACTGTATCTAATTTTTTCATGAACATTAAGCTGCAAGCAACTTGCTAACCTGGACTCTGGTCTCTTTATTTAAGGTGTGACTCCGGAATGCACATATGGTTTTTCAAAGTCCAATAAAATCAATCTATTACATGGTCAATGTATACATTAATCATTTACAAGGAAAGGAATCTGCTGCATCACAAATGGGAGGCTTTGGTGAAAACCCATGTGTCCAACAAAGAAAATAACTCTTGGTCAAAATTATAAAAGATCTGAGCTCATCTGAAATACGAAAAAGTTGAGTAATTCGGAGATACAGTCAGCACAAACATTATGAAAAGTTGAATAACAAAGTAACTTTTTCTTTCATCTCAAAAATTATTTTAGGCCACAGTATAGAACATAACTTATTGCTATCTGAAATACCATTAAAAACAGAATCACGTTAGAAGACATGATATGTCAGTAATACCTCTTCATTAATATAAAATGTGCCCCTTTTGGAAGACATACTCTGTAAGTCTCACATCCAAAACTTCTGTATGTACCTATCCAAACTGAATTTATTAAACCCCACAAATTATAAATCAATTAAAGTTTTGATTTCATCAATTTTAGCTTGTTTCATTTCATTAGCATTTGTTTTTTTAGTTCCAAAAGCTCCAGCTGCAAGTTCTCGCTTTGTGTTTTGTATTTTCAGCATATTTTCTTCAACAGAGTCCTTTACAATGAACTTTGAAAAGAAAAAAGAAAAAGAAAAAAAGGGTAAATTGGTTAAGTACTTTTTAGGCCACTATTTAAAATCTTTAAAAAATCCTCAACCTGATTAAGGGTATATATCAGTCATGTAAGAAAAACATGCTTAATGTAAATCAATAAAAGCATCCTTTTCAGTAAAAATAAGTCAAAAAACAGTTACTATCACTACTACTGTTAAACACTGGACAGCAATCCTAGTTACTGCAATGATTATAGAAAGAGAAATCATCTTATAAAACTTTACTGACATATATGAAAGATGTATAATGAAGAAACGTATTATTGATGTTCCTGGATAAGAGTGCTCCTTATTTATAAAGAAGACAGTTCTCAAATTAAACATAAATTCATGAAATTACAATTCCAAACAAGATTTTCAATAAAGTTCAACAGAAGGGCAGTAACAGAAATAACTGACGTGATTTTCAGAAAGGATTATCAGAGCACCTTGGCCTATCACATATCAAACTTCATAAAAGCACAGTAATTATAAAAACATTGTCCTAAAAATAGGAAGAGATCAACAAAACAGAACACAGTCCACCAAGAGACATGTGTAATATATACGAATTAGTTAATGAAAAAAGTGACATTTCAAATCAGCAGAAAAAGGGATGGGCTTTTCGATAGCACAGTGAAGGAACAAATTACTCTTCATTTGAAAAAAGAATAAAGTAAGACATATTCCCATATATCATTAATCACATATAAAACACAAAATCTTCCAAACGAATCAGAAGTATAGAAGAATAGTTTTATAAATTTGGCAAAAGTCTTCTTGTCCTAAACAAGAACGGAAAGCCCAGAACTAGAGATAAAACTATTTTTTTTTTTCTTTCCATTGTGATTTGGGTGAAAATTTAAAGAGCAAATACATTTTCCATACAGCAGTTCACATACACTGTCTCATGACATTGACCGCAATTTACCACAATGCAACAGCTCCCCTCCTACTTTCTCCCCATAGTTACCTCCTCCCTGTGTCCATCCCTCCATGCACTCCTGCCCCCTGAGCTGTCTCCCTGTGCATAAGCAGCCCTTCTTTCTCCCATGATTGTTCTCTCCAAGGAGTGTATCTACCTCAGGTAAATGTTCAACTCATATGCCTGTCTATTGTTTGGCTGGAAGCCAAAGGCGTGCGTTTAGTTCCAGACCTGAGGGGCAGCTAGGGACCATAGTCTCAGTGGTTCTAGCAGGCTCTATTGGACCAGCAAACCTTGTCCACTCCCCTCTTTTTTCCATATGATTTTGAGTTTTGTTCCACATTGTTCTCCCTATCTATCTAGTATATCCTACATAGATTCTCTTCCAAGTGGTTGACAGTAGTAGCCAGGCACCATCTAGTTCTTCCAGTCTCATAGTCATATAGGCTGCAGATTGGATGGTGTACCAGTTGCTAGGAATAATTGTTTCCATGAATTTTTGGTTTTCTTCATTCTTCTTTGCTCTGGACAAGAAGAGACCCATCATTGCAACTAGATGGCAGCCTGTAAGCTTTTAAGATCCCAGTCGCTACTCACCATAGTAGGAGGTGGAACAAGGTTTTGTGTAGTATGTTATACCAATTGAGATTGATGTCCTCTGCAACTACGGTCCCAGGCCCACAGGTTCAACTACTCGGTCTCTCTGGGTATTGGTTGTGACTAAGCGGTGACTACAACCTTGCCCCTTGTCAGCTCCACTATACAACTGGGAATTTAGATCATACATATAAAGTTATGGGACCATTGTCTGCCAACCCTTTACATGTTCTTAGGTACACTCCCCACTTCATAGACATACCTAATAGTGCAGCCTGTCCACCCATCTATCTACCCATATACCTGTGTTTGCCTTCACTGCCAACGCCGTACTATATGTGCAAAAGCATTCACCTTTGTTGTCTATACTTCCCACATACCTCTCTATGCCTTTCTTTTCCTCAATGCCACTATATTGATCACTGATATTTGGCACACTGTCCTTCTCTTCACCCAATTCAAAACTTATCTCTATCTATCTAACAGTATTCCCTCCCCTCCCTTCCCACCCCTGCAAAGAAAATGTCCTTCCATAGATAAATGTTTCTTTGACTTATACAATAACGGACTAATACAATATTTGTCCTTCTGTGATTGACTTATTTCACTCAGCATAATGTCCTCCATGTTCAGCCACGTTATGCGGTGTTTTGCAGATTCTACATTATTCTTTATGGTTGCATAGTATTCCATTGTGTGTATGCACCATAGTTTGGATAAACATTCCTCAGCTGATGGACACCTAGGTTGTTTCCATCTTTTGGCAATTGTAATGAGTGCCGTGATGAACATGGGTGTGCATATGTCTGTTCTTCTCATGGCTCTCACTTCTTTAGGATATGTACCTAGTAATGGAATAGCTGAGTCAAATGGTATTTCTAGTTCCAACTTTTGAAGGAATCACCATACTGCTTTCCACAATGGTTGTACCATTTTACAGTTCCACCAGCAGTGTATGA